CTTCGTCTCATCATCGACCTATGTCTCCAGCTTTGGTGCACGCAATGCCTCCCTATTCGATCACGTACCCTTCCCTTCTTTAATCCTATGGCTGGCCTTCTTAAATCGTCTCGCGTAAGTGATTCATAAAGTTTATCTAACAGTCGCGCTCTCAACACATTTACGCACAGCTCGGTCCACCGCACTTTTACTCAAATATTGAGTCTTACCTAATTTACAAATGCAAATTATGGAAAAAAGAACGAACCTTGGGGTCTGTGTGAATTTTTCAACGGCGATCTGAATGGACAAATTTCCATTTTCCAAATCAAATCGAACAGGGTGTTATTGGCATTATACTGGTGCCAGCATTGCACTCCTCTGTACACCAGGTCGCCGGCAATACCATGTTCAAATTTATCGCTTGGCTGATTAAGACGATCGTTGATGCAAGAATTCTCGTCAATACTTACTGCTGTCGATGTGCAGCATATTGGATCCCAACTGAGAAATAAGTATGGTTTTATTAAAAACAAAAGGGAATACACAAACATTGTTAAACCATAACTATCGTACTGACGAAGTCCAGTTGTGGCACTGAAAAGAAATGTATGCAGTTTAATGGACTGAAAAACATTTGTTCAAATTTTGCGCATTCTGAAATGCCCTTTCACTCAGACAATAATCTACCGATACAGACTTCTGCTATTTCGAAATGAACTTTTAGAAAACAATCGATGAAGCAGAAGATCCGCTTAAATGCTTGTAGCAAGTTTAATGGTAAGAGGACACAAGCATTGGCCGAATTTTCCCGCCTTATACGTTTTACAGCATAAAAGGAAAACAGATTTAAAAAAAAAAAACATTCTCGTAAAATTTCAGCTTCTTAGCTTCTTTGACCGCTAAGTTGAAATTTGGTGGTAAAATCCACACACTGACACACACTCACACATAAACACGCACAGGCTCATACACACACACACACACACATACAGACACACACACACAAACACACACACACATACGCATACATACCGGCTACCTTTTATCCAAGTTCCTTTTTGCTTTTCATTAATGATGTAAAAACGCATAAAAAGGGTATTGCTAAATGCAAAGTTT